GTGTGTTTGTGTGTGCGTGTGTGTTTGTGTGTGGATGTGTGGATGTATATATGTGTGTGTGCATGCACACAGGAGACCAGCTGAATATACATCAGGTTCTAAGCTTTTGTTTTGTTTTGCATGTGTTTTTAGATGTAAGATTATTCGTTACTATTTCATTCTAATTAATTCACTTTGGCTTTGCATGATTGCACTGAGGATCAAACCTAGACCCTTGTGCCTGAGAGGCAAGTACTCTATCTCTGAGCTATCTTCAGTCTTCAATCTATTTAAATTAAATTTTGGTGAGTCGATTGTTTTTAGAAATTTATTCATTTCTCTCTTTCCAGTGTTTTAATGTGCAATTTCTTATAATCTTTTGTATTCCTGTGAGATTACTATAATTATAGTGAAAAGACATAGTGTTGAGAATTCAAGGCAGCCCATCACATCACACTCTCAGTTAGGAAGAGGAAGTAATAAAGATTAACATTCAGCTCACTTCCTCCTATTTTATTCTGTTCAGGACTACAGCCAATGGAATGAGGCTGGCCATATTCAGGATGGGTCTTTGATCAGTTAACAGCCAACAAGATTCAAGTCTGTATATGGACACATGGATTTCTACATGTTTACAAATGAGCAAACATGAATTATAATATGAACACCACAAGTTAATAACCCAAGTTTCATAGTCTAAGCTATCCTCCATGAGTCAATGGTTTCTGAAACCAACAAGCAAGTGACCTTGCAGCCTCTCACTGGGGTCATTTGTTGGTGTTGACAAAACCAGAGAACTTAGTTGAGGGTAACACTATTAGGAATGGATAAATGAGTCAACAAAGACCAATGAATACCCCCAAATAAGGGAAATAGGTCCAACCAGAATGGCAGTGCTTAGCTTCTGAGGAAGCCAAATGAAAATTAAACAGCAACAGAAAAATTCCTCTGAAACACTTTTTAACTTTTATTCATTCTTTGAGATCCTCACATCATGCATTCTGATCCCACTTATCTCACCATCACCTTGCAATCACCCTCTGCCCTTGCAACCTTCACCCCCAACCAAAACCAAATTTAAAAACCAAAAACCAAACCAAAAAAAAAGCAACAACAAACAACAAAAACAAAAAAAAAGAATCTTGTTACAGAAGCTGTAGTGTGATCCATTGAGTCACACAGTATACCCTTTAGTTCATTCATCTTTACTAGCAAGTGTTGTCATGAGTCATTGGTTTGACTCTAAACTTCTGATTTCTGGTATACGACCAATAATGGGTTCTTACTGGGGCTCCTCTTAAATAACCTGTAGTTGTCCTATGTCATGGAGATACTGCTGTTTAGTATCTGTAAGTTTACATGCTTCAATAGTTCCTAGATTTGGTGAAGGTTGCGCTGGGCCAACTCATAGCCCTGGTTCTGAGCCTGGGTGGTAGCTGTGTTGGTCAGCCCACCAGCTTTCCCTAATATTCACTTCCCCGGCAACTTGTCCAGCACTGCCGTGGCTAGCTCACTCAATGTAGTCTACAGCAAGGAGGAGGGCCAGTTCTCCTGATCTCAGATCTTCAGATCTAAGTCTCCCACACTCATATCACCAGAGCCAGCTCTACTCTTTTGCCCAGGCAAGGTACAGGCCCTTATCTCATAATTATTGCAGGGGGCATATGAGGGCAGGGGTATGGTCAGCTGTCCTACTCTTACACCCGCAGTGCTGACTCACCAGCAGTCCTGGCAACAACATCAACTCTAGTGTGCTGTGCAGATGAAGTACACATCTGTGCTGAGGGGTGGGACTGTCTTTCCCTAGTGTAGGAGTGAATTATCCTTCTGTAGTATCATAATTGGATGATGGGATAATAGATTGGTACTTGTGAGTTATTGTTTTTAGACAAATATATTGGTATCGATTCTTGTATATTGATACAAAGTTAAATTATATTGACTATTGTATGCATGAACGCTTCTACCTCTGTTTAAAACATTATTTATGTATTGATATATATTGTTTTGATATATGTATATTTATCATATTGCAGTGTACATTTCTACCTCTGATTAAGATACTTATATATTGTTTATGTATTGATATATATATATATATATATATATATATATATTTACCATATTGCAATGTATACTTGTACATTGTTTACATTTGGAGGTCATATTTTCCTCATTTATTGCACAGTTGTTTATTGTCTTAGTCTTTAAGTTAGATATGTATTGAGAATTATATAGATCAATAGTCATCTGTTTGTCATTTATAATTAGACTAATCAGGTTCTTTAGATACATAGAGATTATATTCAGTATAGATAGATAATCTTCAACCTCTTCAAAGAGCTGTAGAAAATGATCTTTAATCTAACTCAGAGTTCCATGGTAGTGAGACACAATCGCTCCTGGCAACACCGATCTTTTCCCAAGAGAATGTTGAGCACCAAAGACACCACACCTGGAGCCTTTCTTCTTGGCAGAACTGACCTTTGGGTAAAGAAATGCACATACTTCAACCATTGTCTGAGATATAGAGTATCCGTAAATGGATAAAACAGAACTGTCATATCCTGCCAAGACAGGGTAAGATAGTTTTGAAAAGTTTCTTGCCTTTGAAAATGGTATGTCAGTTACATTAGGCCTTAGCCAAAGTTGGTTGCTTCAACGCTGCAAACGTGACTTTGGGTGGTTGCCCAGGTAGCCAGTTGTCTGTGATTTGTTGCATGTTTTGGAAGTTGTTTGATTGCACTTCCTAATTATTCAGGTAACATTATTTCCCTTCTCAGATCTTCGATGGGGTTGAAGACTAAATGTAGTTACTTTCCTCTCATGACTTGGCCAAGTTACTTATTATACAAGACTTAAGCTAGTTCGAATAGGATATTTGTACTTATTGTTTATAATTTCGTAGTAGGCTTAGAACTCTCTTACTTAAATAAAAGGGGGAGGTGCTGCGGGAGCTCCTTCCACTCCTTCAGCCAATAGCCGCTGAGATACCAGCCCATTGGGGCGTGGTCTCTCTCTTTAAAAAAAAAAAGCAGCAGCTGTCCTCCGTTCTCTCTCTGGCTTCTGGCTCCACTTCCGGCTCCTAGACTCCTAGACAGAGGGGCTGCTGTCTGGAACGGTGATCTGTAAGTTTTTCCCCTTTGAATAAATAACTATTCTATTAATCATAATTCCAAACTGGTGTGGGATTGTTTGTGACTTACGCCTTCATCAGGTGAAGGACAGGACAATCTATATCAGAGCCAGTGAAACATGGTGCTGGCTCAGCACAACATGGTTCCAATGACCCCCTGTGATATAACATGGGTCATGGACATTATCATAGACCCCAGCTACAGCAGAACCATGAACATAGTCCCTGGCAGGAGCTAGGGTCCTGATGTCACCACAACCCCAGCAGTAGCACAGGCCACCCACCCAGATCAGTATGCGCTGGATGTCAGCAGCGCCCTCAGGCACCTGATCTCTGGTGGCTGAAAACACCCTGGGCATCTGCAGAGGCATCTTTAGTGACAGGAGTCATAGATACCACCCCAGATCCCTGCCACTGCAGGGGTCATGGTCCTAGACATTACCCTAGGTAGCAGCCCATGCCCATATGCCTCTGTGGCTCCAGGGGGCAGCACTGGCCAACAGATCAGTATGATCCCAGCAGCCGCACAGTCCTTGGACACCAGCATGGCCTGAGATGGCAGACTAGACGCCAGTCATCTTCACAGCCCTCATTAGTAACAGGAGCTCTAGACATCAACTCAGACCCTGGTTGTTATAGAGCCATGGACCAAGACAGGGACTTCGGTCGCAGCCCTGGTCTGGATAACATTATGGTCCAAGGGGAGGACCACACAGATCACCGTGTCTCTGGTGACAGCACAACTCTGGGACACTCTCATGACTCCCAGTTTCGGCTCAGATCCCAGGTATATCTGTGGTCTTTTGTGGCAACATAGGCAAGAGACATCAAGGTGGGACTGCAGGCTACTCAGACTGGCTTGACCCTGGGAGAGTGTGGTCCTCAGATATCAACATGGCTCTGCATGGCCTTCCATGTTCTCAGGAGCTGCCAACATCAACTCAAACCCTGGGTGCAGCAGCTCCACGGACCCAGACATAGCCCTTAGCCACAGCCCTGGTCCGGATGATACCCTGACCCCATTTGACATCATTGGCCACCTAACTCATCCTGATCACAGTGTAACACTATCAGCATGATCATCGATTGCTGCCCAGATCTGAAGCAATCACAAGGCCCTTGACAGAAAAACGGGCCAAGAACATCAATACAGACGGTGACTGTGGCAGGACTATGGACTCAGAAATGCTCCTTGGCAGAAGCCCAGACCAGAATGTCACTATGCCCCTAGGTGGCCATTCACACCATCCAGATCAGCAAGGTTTCAGCAGCAGCAAGGTTCTTGGATTCGAATGTGATCCCAGTTGGTGGCCCAGACCACAGGGATCTGCAGATACCAAGAAGCCAAAGGAACGACAATCATCAACACAGGGCCCCTCAGATGCTCCAGGACCCCAGACCAAGACCTGGTCCCTAGTCACTAGCCCAAACCCAGGCCCAGCATCCCTCTGGATCAGGTGACCAGCTGGCAATTCCTGTCAGTCCATTCTCTCATCACCCTCACCTCTCCAGATCTACCTCTCTCCCCAACCCATAAACCATTCTGTCACCCCCTTCCTTCCTTTTACTTCCACACTCTATACTCTGGTACCACAATGGTGCCCAAAAGGCCTACACCAGTTGGGCTTCTGGTTGATTGTTAACCCACAGATTAAAAAAGTATCTGGGGAGGGGGCTGCCATCTGTGTCCTACACTAATTCAGGCCTCCATCTGAAACATTTAAACCAGCTGTTTTTGCCAATAGTTTGTAGGTAGTTACCAACTTTCTTTAACTTTGAGAGTGAATTGAATTGATATCAGTATACCAAACAGTTACAACACCATTGTTAGACCCCACTCTGGGATGCTAACTCCTCAGGAGGATCGCCCCAAGAAACCACTCACCAGTCCAGTTGATGCAAAAGCAAGAGGAATTTTTTTCTCAGCCCCACTAGCACAGGCTGCTTTTAAAGGCAAAAACCACATTTTCAAGGAGGGGGTTGTTTGTCAAAAGCAGGGATTGGCTCATTTTAAGGGCATTTACTATGATTGGTTATGTCAAAGGCCTGGGTTGAAAGACAGGGAAGCACCTGCAGACTGTTGGAAATCACCTGTTGTTCTAGTCAATAGGCAGGGTGGGGTCACTAGTTCTCTAGTTTGCAAAACCATGTTTTCTTCATTCCCTCCTCACACTTTTCACTGTCATCATCACCAAATTTGATGAGGCAATTGGAAATTCTTTAAGAGGGATTAGTGTAAAAGAGAGGGAGAGAGAGAGTTTTGCCACATTAAAAAAATGGGAAACACTCTTACAATGGAGGGAGTTAGGTCTCTTTACGATTACACAATGAATGGTTTAAAAATGGATCAATTAAATGAGGGGATAATTAACTTATATGGATTAGCATAATGTCATTTATAAACATTATCAATTTGATCACTCTTGCTTTATTCCTAAAAGTAGCTTGTTGATATGAGTGCCAAGACACAAATCTTAGAAAAACTTCATGAAGTAGACCATAGGGATATTTAGATCCAAAAAGAGAAATTTAAAAAGCAAACCAATCTCAACACTACATCATAAAGTTAAGGAGGAACAGCTCAAGGTTTTCAAACAACCAAACTTAATTTTCCCAGTCACCTCACAGGAACTCCCAAATGACAGGTATCTTCAAGGCTAAGCAGGAGCTGACCAGACTCCTAGGGAAATGTTAGATTTGAGGAGACTTAAGGATGTGATAGTCTCATATGGTATGCATTTACCTTTTGTGGGGCAGATGATAAATTTATGATCAATTAGGAATAGAATTATTCAACAAGACTGGAAAGACTTAGTTACAGCAGTATTGAAGCCTGGTAATCAATTTCCATAGAGGACCTGGTGAAAAGATGAACAGTAGGGCTGGAGGTATTGAAATCTCTCAAGACCTACTTCTTGGAAAGGGAGAGTATGCTGTCTGCAAAGACAGTCTATAGGGGCCCAAAAGAAGTCTTCACTGATATTTTTACAAAGATTGTCTTCAGCAGTGAATAGAATGAAACCAAATTCAGAAACTAGGCAAATAATAATTGAATCCCTTGCTTTTGAAAATGCTAATTCACAGTGATAAAGGATAGTTAGGCCTTTAAAGGCAAGATCACTACCCATAAGTGAATGAATCCAAGATACAGTCAATATTGAATCTTATAACCATTTTAATGTTTGGATAGGAGAGCTGATTTCCAGAGACTTGAAGAAAAATAAAAATATTAGAAGTTTTAATTGCAGTAAACAAGTCAACTAAAAAGGGACTATAGATAGGGTACTCCTACAAACAATGATTTCTAGGAATAATCCAATCTCAAATTCTCCATTCTGGAGTATGCAGAAGGTATGGAATAGCAGGTATTGGATCAATAAATTTAGGTTAATAAAGGACAGACAAAGTAAGTCTTTGCAATTGAGAAATGTCTTTGGGCATTTCTTGCAAACCTTGCATCAAATTTGGTTCTCATTCTCTGAAATTAAGGGATTAAACTCCTTCTCTGATCTATTAAAGAACCTAATGCCAATTTAAAAAAAAAACCTATACTTCTCTTGATGTTAGAACAGCTTTAAAAGATTAAAAAAATGGGAGAAGCCATAATGTATATATTTTGGTAAGCTTCTATAAATGATCAAAGATAAAATTTAAAATACAAATAAATGACATTGACATCGAAATTATTGCAGACATGGGTACAGATGCAAAGATAATTGCACCAGAATCTTGACATCTAAATTGGATGTCCTCAGAAGATAAATGTTCAAATTTTAGGGACTGGAACTTTCTCTCAGGTAAAACAAAGCATGAAATGGGTTTGATATATAGGGCCAGAATGACAGAGAGGAAAATTAAAACCATATGTGGCTGAAATAGCAGTAAGTTTATAGGGACATAATTTATTGCAGCTATGGAATACCCAGATTAACATTTCTCCAACCTCAGAACCATTATTAATAATACATTAAAAACCATAAACTACTGTGTGTTTCTAGGGAAATATTAAAATGTATTAAAAACCACAGTCACTGACCAAGTTGTACAAGAACAGAGCATAACAGCTGATGATCTTTCAAAGGTGTCAACAGCCCTACCTTTAAAATGGTTGACAGAAAAACCTGTTTGGGTTGTGTAATGGGTTTTCACATCAGAGAAATTACAGAACTTAGAATAGCTGGCAAAGAAGCAACTAAATGCTCAGCATATTGAGGAATCAACCAGTCCTTGGAATTCTCCTGTATTTGTTATTAAAAAGAAAACTGGAAAATAGAGAATATTAATAAATCTAAGAGTTGTCAATAAGGTGACTCAGCCAATGGGCTCTCTACAGCCTGGAATTCTCAACTTGTGTTTTCTTTATTGTCTCTATTTCAGTTTTCAGGTCTTGAATAGTTTCTTTCGTATGTTTGATTGGTTTTACTTGGTTTTCTTTAAGGGATTTGCTGATGTCTTCCAGTTTTTTCTTTGTCTTTTCCTCCATTTCTTTGAGGGAATTTCTCATTTCCTCTTTAAGAGTTTCTAACATTCTCCTGAAGTGATTTTTAGGTCATTTTCTTCCACTCCATCTATATTTGGTTGTTCAAGTCTTAACTGCTGTAGGGTCTTTAGGTTTTATTGGTGTTGTGTTGCTTTTTGTGATGTTGCGTGTTTCTACTCATCCTTTCCTCTAATAAGTGTATTTGGGGTTGTCGGTGAGTCTGTTGATTAATCTTCTAGGTGCTAGTGAATCCAATGCTCAGATGTTTGTTCCTCGTGGTATAGTTAGTGCCACAGTTCTAGTTACCCCTTTGGTCACTCCGTGTTCCTGGAGGTCACTCAGCTTTCCAGGGCTTTGCCTCATTCCCTTGGAGTTTGCTGTCTCAGGCCTGATCTAGCCTAGGTTGACAGCTTTGACCTGTTTCTGCAAATCCTGGTCTATGTACACTCTTGCATAAGTCCCTGACTTGGAATTGGACCTACAAAGGTCTCTGGCTCAGGCCTACTCCCTAGGAGGTCCCAGATTCACACCCAGATCTGCAGGAGACCTGACTCAGGCCTAGTTCCTAGAAGTCCTAGGCTCACGCTGAGACCCACAGGGGTCCTGGCTTGGCTCTACTCCCTTGAAGGTCCCAGATTCACATATGTACCCTCAGCGGTCTCTGGCTCTGGTTCACTCGCTCAGCAGTTGCTCCTCTGTACCTGTTCCTGTGAAGTTCACTGTCTCAGGTCTGCTCTGGCCCATGTCACTGGCTCAGTCCGGCTCTGCCAATGTCCCTAAAGTGGATGATAAAACAGTTCTTGTCATGGTATTACAAACTATTTCTCAGTGTCCATGGCATTGGGAGAGTGGGTCATCTGCCCTTGGCTACAATTCCTTCATAAGTCACTTCTTTACCATTATACTTAGTTGTTGAAAATTTAACTTGTATTTCACAAAAATGGAAACTCTGAACTTCTACTGGCCCTGGCACACCATTTATACCACATCATTGCTCAGTATGTGCTCTGTTAATATTTACCCAAGTGTGAATGTGATAGTAACCCTCTTGCTCCAGCTGCCTTTGAAACACTTTCTAGCTACAGGTTGGAAATCAGTGATAGATTCACCAAAGTGACAGAGCTAAGCAAAGCACAGAATATATATTAAAAAAAAAACTTTTCAGTTACCAAGCCATGCATGAAGACTTGCACTGTGGTTCCTGAAGTTTCTAGCTGTCAAGGCATTTTCTGATATTGTTGACGCTTAAAGGTAAACAACATGCTATGGTTGGAAAGACATTACTTAGTAAAAGAAAAGAAATCTCTATCTTACTTGTTGGACTTATTTCAGGGAAAGTGTAAAATGTTATAATAGAAATTTTCATGTTATTTTTAAAAAAGGAAATTGAAGATTTTGAAAGTCAAACATGACACGCATCACTAAAAGAAGAAAGAGATCCGTGTAAAATACGCTATAAGATTTCTTTGAAGGTTCTAATTTAAAACAGCATCAATCAGAGCTGAATGAGGTAGCTTGACTTCAATGCTGTTTTCTTTTCAGCAAACTCGAGAAGCGGTTCACATCTCCGAGCTGCCAACTGCTCGCCTCATCCTCCCTGTGGCATTAAACCACGTGAGAGCGACACCTGTCAGAAGACTGGTCACCTGAACATCTCTACTTCATTTGAAAAGGGTGGGGAAATTAGAACTGAGCACTGCTATGTGACTAATTACACTTACACTTTCAGTTTCTAGGAAAATGCAGTCATGTGCAGTACTTGAAGCTTAATGTTTTCCTTATTCTGCATTCTTTAAAAACAAAGTCAGTGATTGATGATTGACTGGAAGAACTTTTTTTATTTACTTATTTATTTATTTATTAAAAATTTCTGCCTCCTCCCCACTTCCCTTTTCCCTCCCCAACCCCACCTCCCCCTCCCTCTCTAGTCCTAAGAGCAGTCAGGGTTCCCTGCCCCTGGGAAGTCCAAGGTCCTCCCCCCTCCATCCAGGTCTATAAAGGTGAGCATCCAAACAAACCAGGCTCACACAAAGTCAATCCATGCAGTAGAATCAACACCCAGTGCCATTATCCTTGGCTTCGCAGTCAGCCTTCATTGCTAGCCACATTCAGAGAGTGCGGTTTGATCACATGCTCCATCATTCCCAGTCCAGCTGGCCTTGTTGAGCTCCCATTAGATCAGTCCCACCATCTCAGTGGGTGGATGCACCACTCGTGGTCCTGACTTCCTTGCTCATGTTCTCCCTCCTGCTGCTCCTCGTTTGGACCTTGGAAGCTCAGTCCAGTGCTCCCTCCTGCTGTTCCTCATTTGGACCTTGGGAGCTCAGTCCAGTGCTCCAATGTGGGTCTCTGTCTCTATCTTCATCCATCGCCAGATGAAGGTTCAATGGTGATATGCAAAATATTCATCAGTGTGGCTATGGGACAAGACCAGTTCAGTCAC